CTAGACCAGGCTGACGCCAGGATCCAGGAACTTCTTCTGGGTCTCCCATGTGGGTGCAGGAGCCCAAGCACCTGAGCCATATTCTGCTGCTTCCTGAGCCATTAGCAGGGAGCTGGAACTGTGAATGGAACCAGGACTCAGACCCAGGCATGTCCGTTGGGATGCAGGTGACTTAACTTCTAGCTAAGTGCCCACCCTAGGGGCCTACAGGTTTGAATAATGAGAAGCAGAAGTCCTTTACCCAACTGGTGTTTGCCCTCTCTGAGGCCAGAGATAGGTGGGTGGAGCAGGAAGGTTCAGATTCCTTTCTTCCTCACACTGTCCTGGTGGGGGTGCTGATGGTGTGTAATTGTCCATTTTATTCAACTTTCTCCCAGCTGAGAAAATACATATAGTTGAGCAGTTGAGTCTGTGTTAGTTAAATGTGATGTGACCATTTCATTTGGTATCTCAGATCATTCTGATGTACATTTGTATGTGTGGCTTGATTCAGGTTTCTAATAATTGCATGACTTCAAGATACAATCATTTTGTCAGTTTTGGGTGTCCATTTTGTGTTTTATTAATTTGAGAAAGTCCAAAGATTTTTTTTTTTTTAAAAAGATTTATTGATTGATTTGAAAGAGTTACAGAGAGAGGAGAGACAGAGGGAGAGACAGAGAGAGAGAGAGATCTTCCATTCGCTGGTTCACTCCCCAATTGGCTGCAACAACTGGAGCTGTGCCGATCTGAAGCCAGGAGCTTCTTCCAGGTCTCCCATGCCGGTGCAGGGACCCAAGGACTTGGGCCATCTTTTACTGCCTTCCCAGGCCATAGCAGAGAGCTGGATCGGAAGTGGAGCAGCTAGGCTTCCAACCTGCGCCCATATGGGATGCCGGCGCTTCAGGCCAGGGTGTTAACCTGCTGCGCCACAGCGCTGGCCCCCAAAGACTTTCTTCAAGCACATGAAATCAGATAACATCTATTATTCATTACAGGATGAGACCCTCCTCCCTGGGTTGTAAACTGCCTGTGGAGTGGTAGTGACAATGATGATAATAACAGCAACAAGAATAGGAACAGCAGCTACCGTTGCTCTGTGCTTTCCTTGGCCCACGCACCAAGCATTTGCTGTGCTCACCCCTCTCACAGGAGTCTGAGCTACGTGCGGGTGAGGACGGGTCCTCTGTTCCCTGCAGGTTCTCAGCACCTCTCACTTCACCTGCTGCAGAACTGGCCAATAAATATGTGTCATGTGACGGCTTCATGAGGCGTGCATATTTTTTAATATGTTTTCACATTGAGGGATGAATCTTCGACTAATGAAAGCACTTCCCCAAGTATAGATTTCCAGTAATGCAACTGGAACTGACTCACACAGATGGTGGTGGTGATTCTGATGGGTGGAGGAGGGGGCATGCTGACCTAATGGCAGCCAGACATGCATAGTAGTGCAGTATTCATTATTATTGCCTTAGGTCAAGTTGGCAAGCTTTTTCTTAAAGAACCAGATGATCAGCATTTTAGACTTTCTACCAAATAGCATGAAAGCAGCCATAGACAATAAATATAAGGATGTGTGTGACTGTGTTCCAGTGAAAGTTTGCTTGCACAAACAGGTGGCAGGTTGGATCCAGTCCAAGGTAGTACAGTTCCTCTGGTTTTCCAGTCTCTCATTTGGGTGAGGTATTGGTGCCAGTGCCAAGGGCAACTGGGAATGCTGGTGTGGACTCCACCAGGCCCTCTGTGTGGGATGTGGGCGTTCTTTTTAAAGGTTTACTTATTTATTTGAAAGGTAGAGCTACATAAAGGCAGCGAGAAAGAGAGAGATCCTCTATCTGCTGGCCCACTCAACAAGTGGTCACAGTAGCCAGAGCAGAGCTAATCCGAAGCCAGGAGCCAGGAGCTTCCTCTGGGTCTCCCATGCGGGTGCAGGGGCCCGAGGACTCAGGCCATCCTCTCTGCTTTCCCAGTCCACAGCAGAGAGCTGGATCAGAAGCAGAGCAGCGAGGACTCGAACCAGCACCCACATGGGATGCTGGCATGTAGGCTGTGGCCTTACCTGCTGCACCACAGCGCCGGCCCTGGCCCCGTAGGCATTCTAAGTGGCAACTTAACAGGTACCCCAGCGTCCCAGGAACACATTTTTGAATATCTTTTTTTCCTTTGTAACCAGGGCTTCTGGAACCAACTTCTGGTTTTCACTCTGAGACTTAATTGTGTGTTTTTTTGTTTTGTTTTGTTTTGTTTTGCTCTTCCTGGTTGCTTTTTTCTTTGGCTTTATATCTAAAATCCTTCCATCTTGGGGACAGATTATTTAAGTAACCATCACATATATTGAAGCCTACTTGGTATCATTTCAGTGATTAGGAGAGGGCCATCTTAGTAATCAGAATATTAACTGGAATGTTAAGGAACACATGCATTTTCTGTTTCTTTAGAATATCTTTTTTTTTTTTTTTTTTTGAAGAGTATTTGAAAGGCATAGTTACAGAGAGAGAGAGAGAGACCGAGCTTCCATCTGCTGGTTCACTCTCCAGATGACTACAATAGCCAGGGCTGGACAAGTTTGAAGCCAGGAGTCAGGAGCATCTCCTGAGTCTCCCACATGGATGGTAGGGGCCCAAGCACTTGGGCCATCCGCCACTGTTTTTCCAGGTGCTTTAGCAGGAAGCTGGGTCAGAAGTGGAGCAGTTGGGACTTGAACTGGCACCCATATGGGATGCCAGTGCCACCGGCTGCGGCTTCACCCAGTGTGCCACAGTCTGGCTCTGAGAAATAACCTTTTTAAAACTAGGCAACTTTGGCTGGCACCGTGGTTCACTAGGCTGACCCTCTGCCTGTGGCGCCAGCACCCCGGGTTCTAGTCCCGGTCGGGGCACCAGATTCTGTCCCGGTTGCTCCTCTTGCAGTCCAGCTCTCCACAGCACACCAGCCATAGTGGCCATTTGGGGGGTGAACCAACAAAAGGAAGACCTTTCTCTCTGTCTCTCTCTCTCACTATCTATAAGTCTCTCTCACTAACTGCTTGGCAAAAAATAAAAAAAAAAATAAAACTAGGCAACTTTAATGAATTTGCAGTTTGTATAGTTATCGTTTAATTTGTGATTCCAAGGTTTTTGAAAAATGATTTGCAGCAATTAGATCTTTTACAGAAATCATTTGGTTTTATGCTGTTTATCTAGATGTTTCTTCTGTCATAGAATGACAAGAACTTAAGCTGAAATTGTGACAGATTTTGCACCAGTAGAGTCTGTGTGATGGTGTATTTGTGTTCCAGCTTTCTAGGCATAGAGATTTGAAAATATGCATGTACAAGAACAGTTGTATAGGAAATTGAATGAATGAATTAGGATTCTACTTCACCACTTCTGAGTTATGGGCCCTTGAGTAAATTAGTATTCTTTCTCAAGTGTCTGTTTCCTGTTCTATAAAATGAGGACATCAGTAATTCCAGCACGTAGGTGTTTTGTGAGGACTAAATGAGGTGATCATGATATGATCACTGGTCAGTGTAAATTAGTACTGTGTGTAGAAAAGTTACTTTTAGGAGCTCCTTGGGTCCGGGGATGAATACTGCTCCTTTTTAAATATAGAAACAGAAGAGGGGGCCAGCACTGTGGCATAGTGAGTAAAGCCACCACCTGCAGTGCCAGCATCCCACATGGGCGCTGGTTCGAGTCCTGGCTGCTCCACTTCCAATCCAGCTCTCTGCTATGGCCTAGGAAAGCAGTAGAAGATGACCCAAGTTCTTGGGCCCCTGCACCTGCGTGAGAAGACCCAGAGGAAGCCCCCGGCTCCTGGTTTTGGATTAGCACAGCTCTGGCCATTGCCGCCAATTGGGGAGTGAACCAGCAGATGGAAGCCCTCTCTCTCTCTCCCTCTCTCTCTCCCTATTGCCTCTCCCCTCTCCCCCTCTCCCCTCTTCATATCTATACGTGTCCCCCTCCCCCTCTCTCCCTCCTCCCCTCCCCCTCTCCCACTCCCCCTCTCTCCTCCTCCCCTCCCCCTCTCTCCCACTCCCCCTCTCTCCCTCCTCCCCTCCCCCTCTCTCCCTCCTCCCCTCCCCCTCTCCCCCTCCCCCTCTCTCCCTCCTCCCCTCCCCCTCTCCCACTCCCCCTCTCTCCCTCCTCCCCTCCCCCTCTCCTCCTCCCCCTCTCCCCCTCTCCCCCTCCCCCTCTCTCCCTCCTCCCCTCCCCCTCTCCTCCTCCTCCTCCCCCTCTCCTCCTCCCTCCCTCCTTCTCTCTCTGTGTAGCTCTGACTTTCAAATAAATAAAATAAATCTTAAAGAAGAAGAAAAAGAAACAGAAGAGGCAGGCCTTGTGATGCAGCGGATTAAGCTGCTGCATCCCATCCTGGAAGTCCTGGCTGTTCCAGGCTTCTGATCCCAGTGCATAGCCTGGGACACAGCAGGTGGTGGTGCAAGTGCTTGGGCCCCTGCCACCCAGCTTGGGAGACCTGGGTGGAGCTCCAGGCTCTGGCTTCAGCCTGGCCCAGTCCCGGCCATTGCAGCTATTTAGGACGTGAACCAGTGATGGATGAACTCTCTCTGTCTCTCCTCCCTCTCTCATTTTGCTTTTCAAATAATCTTTCTTTAAAAATAGAAGAGTTTATGTCTATTTTTCCTGCATAAGCTGGTGTTCTTGACATTCTTTGTTGGCACCTTTCATTGTGTTTATTGCCTCAGTTGTATTTCTTTACTTGTTTGTCCATGTGAAACAGGAGGCTCACGGGAATGGTGTCTCAGTCAGTCCAGGACTCTGCAGAGAAGAATCAAAGTTAGAAATAGCCCCGTGTTTTCAGCATAGCAAGCAAATGTGCAAGCTCACTCAAGTACTGAATTTTTACTGTTTTAAAAGGTGTCAAGTTCAGGAGCAGTGGCTTGTCGTCTTCTGTGTCATGCTTCCATTCTGTGATGTGCTCCCCCTGGCTTCCGGTGCCCCCTTCACAGCAGGATGATAAGCATCGGGATCCATTGTCAAATTGTGCAGTGGTTCATGGTGTCCTCCTTTGTCTTCCAGGATGATTGAGGAGAGCGGGAACAGGCGGAAGACCATGGCCGAGAAGAGGCAGCTGTTCATCGAAATGCGTGAGTCTTGGTGCTGCGGGGCTCCTGTTCGCGTGCAGGTTTTTTTTTTTTTTTTTTTGAGTTATGATCTCAATCAACTAGAAGTTGTGTGTTATAAGCTTTCAAATGGAAAGAAGGGGAGTTAAAGAATCAGGATGGGGGTTATACTTTAAACATGTTTGTTTATAATTTAAAAAAAATTTTTTTTTATAATTTTTGTGTACTTGAAAGGCAAGGTGGTGGGGGAGGGCAGTGGGAAGAGAGAGTGATTTTTCATCTGCTTGTTTGTTTCTGAAATGCCTGCAACAGCCGGGGCTGGGACAGACTGAGGCCAGGAGCCCTGAACTCCATCTGGGTCTCCCATGTGGGTGGCAGGGACCCAAGCGCTTGGGCCATCTTCCACTGCCTTCCCAGGTGCACTAGCAGGGAGCTGGATCAGAAGCAGAGCAGCTGAGACTCGAATCAGCACTGCAGTGTGGGATGCCGGCATTGCAAGTGGCAGCTTCTCTCACTGCTCTGCTCTCCCACCCCTGGAGCATATTTTTGTTTTAAAGATTTATTTATTCGATACTGTAATGTGTATAAATATTTTTATACAATTCAGTATAAAGCCTTAATACTTAATACTTCATGAAATAATGTTTAACAAGTAAAAAGCAAAAAGACCCTAGTTTTGTAGGAATATAGACAATGGCAATAATTGAATGGAAAAGTGACCATTTCACCTATATATATTAAATTTTAAGGTAATCAGAGATCATTAAAACTATAATAATATAACATTCTTAACAATTAGTTAAGGTATTAAATAAACATAAAATAAAGTTTCACAAAACTGTATTTGCAGCAATATTGATAAACATAGGTCTGTCTGCCTTCCTTCCTTCCTTCTTCCTTTGTTTGTTTGTTTGTTTTTAAATGTTGGCTCCCACATATAAGAGAGAACATGTGGTATTTGTCTTTCTGTGTCCAGCTTATTTCACTCAACATGTTATGTGTATGTATTTTAAAGGACATATCTATAATAAATTTCAATGATGTATTTTGAAGAAAAACTTATTTTTTTGAAAGGCAGAGTTAATATAGAGAGGCAGAGGCAGAGAGAGAGAGAAGGTCTTCTGTCCACTAGTTTACTCCCCTAAATGGCCCTAACAGCTGGAGTTGAGCTGATCCAAAGCCAGGAGCCAGGAGCTTGTTCCGGGTCTCCCATGTGGGTGCAGGTACCGAAGCACTTAGGCCATCTTCTCCTGCTTTCCCAGGCCACAGCAGAGAGTTGGATTGGAGGAGGGGCAACTGGGACTCAAACTGGCGCCCAAATAGGATGCTGGCACTTTAGGAGGCGGCTTTACCCACTGTGCTACAGTGCCAGCCCCTAGAGCATATATTTTAATCAAATTAAGTTGAGTCGCTCTTAAGCAGCATCGTAAGTAATCAGGTAAAAATATTACCTAGAATAAGTTTTTAAGGAATGCCAGTTACTCGAGACCTCTTAACTCCACTGTTAACCATGCGCCTGTAGGTAGTAATATAAAATTAATAAGTAATACATTTTATAAATTACCTTCCACCGGATACTGATTTTAAGGGAGGCAGGACTAGGTGTTAGGACAACACCTGGAGCTATTGGAAACACTAAAAAGAACACATGTGCGCTTTGGTATATTACTTTGCAATTTTGAGTCTATTAAAAATTATATAAAACCTGAACAAAAGAGAGGGGGGCACGCAGCTCTGAGGACTGGGAGGGCTGTTCTGCTGTGAGCCTGTGACCTGGGCCTCAGACGCTGTGCCGTGCGCAGGTCACTGGGCTGAGCTGCCGCTGCGAGCCCTTCCAGAGGCCTCGTGCTCTTTCCGAAGCGGAGCCTCACAAGGACGCTCGATGTTTGCGTGTCAGAGTGGCCCAGCGTGGTTGAAGCAGGAGGGGGAGGCAGACGCCCCGCCTGGGATGGCCGCGCAGGTCCTGGCCAGTTCTGGAACTCTGTGTGTCACAGCGTGAGCAGCGGCCTCGGGAGAGCCCGTGGACTCGGCAGGTTTCAGATGTTCTGAGTCTTGGCCACGCGAGGCGGAGTCTGCTGGGGCTCAGGCTTGGTACCTGCTAGCGGTGGGAGCGGCGACGGCTCGGTGTTGCCCAGGCAGCCTGATGGGAGATCTGTCCAGATGCTTGGAGTGCTGACTCTGACTGCTCGTCACCCAAGCCGACGCCTCGCTCTACCTCACCTTCCGCCTCCAAAGAAATGCTGGAGCCTGGAGTCTGTTCCTGAGCCACAGCGGCTTTGAGTCCAGGCTGTGCAGTCAGACTGCCTGCCTTGCATCTTGGCTCCCTCGCTTACTGGATGTTGAACTTTAGGCAAGTTATTGAATGGCCCCGGGCCTCAGTTTCCTCATCTGTGAAATGGGAGAAATACTGACTTCCTGTGTGACATGAGTGAAGCACTTAGCACAGTGCCGGACACAGGAGAGTCGGCACTTCATATCATAGGCGTGGATGGTCGTTGTTCTCAGCACTTTCCGTCGGAGCACTACGTTTCTGAGCCTTCCTTCCTGTCTTCACGCCATCATAGCTGCTGTCTGCATGCTGCCAACTTGAACCATAGGTGTCCGTCACCTCTGTGCCGAGTCCCTTCAGCAGCTCCTTAGCCCAGCTCCTGGCCCTGCCCAGCAAGGCCCATGGGCCCCTGTCCCCTGTCCCTGGGCGCCGGGTTTCCCTCCTGGGGCCTTTCCTAGTGCCGCTGGGTGGGTTTGCCGCAGACAGACTTTGCTCGTGCCGCCGCTGCCTCCACCCTCTTCTGTGAACCCGCCAGGGTCCTCTTTCTACCCCAGGGCCAGCACTGCTCTAGGTGTCAGGTTGCAGGAGAGAACAAAACTCCACGTGCAGGGGCAGAGGATCAAATAGGAGGCCGCATGATAAACATGATAATTCCTGGTGCTCAGAAGGCCGGGTGCCTTCAGTCAGTGCACACGGGCGGGTGGGCAGGTGTTGAAGCAGCCCTGCTGAGCGCTGGGTCAGCACCTAGTGAACACCCCTGTGCTGCCTCGCCTCGGGCATGGCTGTTCCCGCTGGCACACACTGGGGTGCAGAGTCTGGGAGATGTGTGGTGAGTGTGGCTGCACAGAAGGGGTGTCCTCTGCGTGGTGGTTCTGCAGCCGGAAGCCCCCATGGTCGTTCCTGGTAGCACACAAAACACACATGAATATGCACGCACAGCAATATTACATGTACTCATGCATGCATAGGCATACATAGCAGTATACACCCATGTACACATACACACACACACTTGCCTGTGGCGGTTAGTTATCTTTCCGGGATTTATTATTTGTATCTCCTTACTTAGAAAAGTCTTCAAGGGTGAGCCGGCTTCCACATCTGTCGCCCCTGCCCAGTTACCAGCGGAGGTGCTTGCAGTGTGCCGAGATCTCCCGAGATCCTGTTTTCCCTTCCTAACGGATGGCACCGTGTCCTGACGGAGGCAGTCAGGGCGAGTCAGCGGCAGGCGGGCATCTCAGGGGCTGTGCAGCTCTGCAGGGAGTAGCTTTTATCAAGCAGTTCAGGTTCAGTGTCGTTCTCAGGGTTTCCCCTCATTGCCGGGGTGGCGTTTCAGCGTCTGATCCAAGCAGACGTAATCCTGTCTCTACTTTCACTGCGAGCGTTCACACCCAGCCCCCACCTGTGAGGGGAGCCCTGGTGAAGGAAGAGGGTGTCCCTCCTGTCCCTTCCCTGCCCCTCCATACCTCGGGTACCTAGAGTCTGTGTTGCCTCTGTTTGCCCAAGAGTTTCACTGGGCTCTGCAGCTGGGGCTGGAGTTCTGCTTTTGTGTGTTTAATTCATACCCTTGATGCTGTTTCATTCATTCATTCATTTTTTTTTTAAGATTCATTTATTTATTTGAAAGAGCAACAGGGGGAGAGAGAGAGAGGGAGAGGGAGAGGGAGAGAGAGAGAGAGAGAGAGAATGAGAAGAGAATGAGAATGAGACTATCTTCCATCCATTGCTTCAGTCCCCCAATAGCTGCAGTGGCCATGTCCGGGGCAGGCTGAAGCTGGGAATCAGGAGCTCCATCTGGGTCTCCCCCACGGGCGACGTGGGCCCAAGCACTCGGACCATCCTCTGCTGCTTTCCCAGATGCATTAGCAGGGGTCTGGATCAGAAGTTAAGCAGCTGACAGTCCCATCTGGGATGCTTGTGTCACAAGCAGCGAATTAACACACTGTGCCACAATGCTGGGCCTGTGAGTCATTTCTCGAAAAGCTTAAAATGTGCTGTCTGATGTTCTTGTTAACCTGACATTGTACTGAGTTTCTTAGGGTGAGGTGGAGGGAATCACTGCTACCCCAGAAGCCTGCAGCGAGTGCCATCAGGTACAGGTGCAGTTTAGTTAGCAGGGGCTTCCAGTCCTTTTTTATGGTTCACGTGAGCATTTGCTGGCCAGTGAAGGAGCCTCCTACAGAAAGCAGGACCGGGGGCTGCTCCAGAGGAGGCTGGTCAGAGGGGAATTTTGCTGTTCAAAAGAAGTTGTTCTAAATTATTTGAGAGGTGGAGAGGACACACACACACACACAGAGTTCACAGAGCCCTGGCACAGGAAAGCCAAATGGCCCTTTGTCCGTGACCAGCACCTGTGACTTGACTCAGCTCAGCTCTCTGAGAAGCCCCTGGCAAACTGGCTGGAACACATCGAGGCTCTCGTTTTTCTAACCCGTCAGCTTTGGCTGTGTGTGGTATTTGCGGCATTTCCTCTTTTGCAGTACCCAGATCTGACACTACCTACACCACAGAAAGAGCTGGCAGAGTGTGAGTTATACCAGGTGCATGGATTTTTTCTTTAATTACTTTGCCACCAGCAAACATGACTTAATAAATGCCCTGCATTTGTGACTTTTCTGTTTGTTCATTGGGGATGGAACTTTCTTTTCCTAGATGTTTTCAATATTTCCCGTAACATCTTTCATAAAAATAAGTGTCTAGACATTAGAATTACCTGTAGTGACTTAATGACAGGCTATATGTTAAATGCCCTTCAGCATTTATCAGCATTTTTTTCTTTAAACCATTGGTTTGATTTTCAGCTAGTTAATATTTAATGGCTCTTGTTTAGAATATTTCAGTTGAGATAGTACTATTAAGAAGCTAAATGAGTAAAAGTAAATGGTGGCCGGCACCACGGCTCACTAGGCTAATCCTCTGCCTTGTGGCGCCGGCACACCAGGTTCTAGTTGCGGTCGGGGCGCCGGATTCTGTCCCGGTTGCCCCTCTTCCAGGCCAGCTCTCTGCTGTGGCCAGGGAGTGCAGTGGAGGATGGCCCAAGTACTTGGGCCCTGCACCCCATGGGAGACCAGGAGAAGTACCTGGCTCCTGGCTTCGGATCAGTGCGGTGCTCTGGCCGCCGTGCGCCAGCTGCGGCGGCCATTGGAGGGTGAACCAACAGCAAAGGAAGACCTTTCTTGTCGCTCCCCGTCTTTGTGGAGGAACGACACAGGACCCTGCGCTGTTCTTTCGTCTGCTCGGCCCTCCCCGGGTTTGCTGCTGGTTCTTCCCGGGTTGGCTACTGTCCCTTCCACCTCCGTGGAAGGGCGGTTCCCCCTGCCACGTTCCCCACTTCCGCGGGGGAGCGGCACACCGCCGGCCGGCTCTCTCAGGGGCTGCACAGGTGTTCCTTCAGATAGATGTTCTCCTTAGATGTTCCTCGTGCATGTTGTCTCTCTCCTCCTTTATAGTCCTCTTCCACCAATCCCAACTCTGCTGCCCACACGCCGAGTACGCTGCTCTCCTCCAATCAGGAGCAGGATCAGCTCCTGGAGGTCATCACTCAAGTTGGCAAGAGGCAGCTGCGTAGAAGCTGTTTCCTCCTCTCCCAGCGCCATATTGTGGGAGAGCAGATGCATAGAATAAGTCTTAATTCCAGTAACTTAGTCTAGTCCGAGTTGCTCCCCACACTTTGTCTCTGTCTCTCTCTCACTGTCCAATCTGCCTGTCAAAAATAAAAAAAAAAGTAAATGGTACTAAATAAATTTAGAAAAGTGTACAACTTACACTCTAAAAACTATAAATTAAGGCCTAAAGAAATGGAGAGGTGTCCTGTGCCAATGAGTTTGAGTACTTAACAGTGCCAACAGTATTCTCTACGTTTATCCACAGATTCAGTGCAAGCCTCACAAAAATCCTGATTGGCCCCTTTTGCTTTTGCTTTCCAGAAATGGATAAAGTAAAAAAAAATTAGTTGGATTATCCTGAAAGTTATATGGAAATTCAGGCAACCCAGAATAGCCAGAATAATCTTGAAGGAGAAAAAGGCTGGAGAACTGAAACTTTATGACTTTAGAATTTATTACACAGCTATCATCATCTAGACTGTGGGCGGTGGCATAGGGACAGACATAATCAGTGGGATAGAGTGGAAAGTCTGGAGTTAAATCCAGACGTCTGTCACCAGTTGATGGCAAGAGTACACAGACCATTCAATGAAGGGAATAGTCCTTGGGACAAACGATGCTGAGACAACTGGATATCCCTATGCAGAAGAATGAACTTGGACCTAAATGTAAGACCTGAAACTAAAAACCTCTTGGAAGAAAACATAGGTACACATCTCGATCTTGGGGCAGGTATTGTGGCCCAGCGGTTTAAGCTGCTGCTTGGGGTGCCTGCTTCCGGTGTCAAGAGCGCCGGTTCAAGTAGCAGCAGCCTCACTGCCACCGCCATGGTAGACCTCGTGAGCTCCTGGCACCTGGCTCTGGCCGGGCCGGGCCCTGCCAGTCGTGGGCATCTGGGGAGGGAATATGTGGATAGAAGATCTCTGTCTGTCTCTGTCTCTCTGCTCTGGCTTTCAAATAAATACAAACAAATAAACATTATAAAAACCTTCTTACCTTCAATTTGGTGAAGACTTACTAGATGTGACACCAAAAGCATAAGAGACAAGAGGACAAATACATAAACTTGAGTTCATCAAGATGACAAGCTTTTGTGCTCAGAGGACACCACCGAGAAAATGGAATGACTACCCATAGAATGCCAGGACATACTTTAAATCATGCATCTTGTGACTTCCACCTCGAATGTATAAAGAATTCTTACTACTTGGGGCCAGTGTTGTGACATAGTGGGTAAAGCTGCTGCCTGCGGCACCAGCATCCCATAAGGGTGCCAGTTTGTGTCCTGGCTGCTCCACTTCCATTCCAGCTCCCTGCTAATGGCCTGGGAAAATAGTGGAAGGTGGCCCAAGTCCTTGGGCTGCTGCACCCACGTGGGAGACCTAGAGGGAGTTCCAGGCTCCTGGCTTTGGCCTGGCCCAGCCCAGCTATTGTGACCATTTGGGGAGTGAAGCAGCACATGGAAGATCCCTGTCCCCCTCCTTGACTGTGCCTTTCAAATAAATAAAATGTCTTTAAAAATAATCAGAACCCTGGGACACACCTCCCTTTTCTTGCGTGCACTGTGGAATGAGCAGAATTGAGAGATCCCCGTGAACACTGGTAGGAGATAGTTCCCCTTCCTGCTGCCAGGGCTTGCAAAGGCAGCTCAGATGCAGTAAAAAACTCCTGTCGGGGTCAGAGCTAAAGTGACCTGAAAGAGCGAGGATACTTCATTGGCAGCAGATTTTGCAAGGAGAACAAAGCTGGGTTTACAGACCAGAGTTATTTTAGGCTTTGTTCCATCTGCTATGACTGTGTATCCAGTACCGACACCTTGACCTTGCTTCCTGATGTCCGAGGTCTGCGTTGGAAGTCGGAGGCTTGGGACTTGCAGGCTGTAAGGCTTGCTGCCTTCTGAGTGACAGACTCGGTTCCTCTGCATCTGAGCCTCTCCGCCACACGGCGCCTGGGCTCCAGGGGCAAGCATCCTGAGAGGGCGAGAGCAGGGACAAGCTGGCCTGCCTTCTGTCCTCTCTCCACAAGGCATGCCCTGGCCCGTTTCTGCATCCTGCTCAGGGAGCGCTGTGGGAAGTCCTCCCCGGATCTCCACAGGGAGGGGCAGCATGCTGCCACAGTGCTGGAGTGGATGCTGTCAGCTGGTCCTGGCCCCCCATTTCTCGGATGACAGCGGGCTCAGAGGAGGTGGCTTGGTTACAGTCGTGTTCCGTGGCTGGTGGCCAGGCTGGGGCTGGGGTTCAGCTGCTGCGCCTCCCTGGGCCTGTGGGTCGTTCACTGAAGATGTGAGTGTTCCTGCCCTTAGAGTTTCCTTAGGCTAGCGATGGGAGGGTGGAGGCAGAGCCGCTGGCAGAGCCTGGCTCGTAGTGGGCACACAGCTGGTTTCCAAACCTGCCTCCATCGTTGTGCTGTCAGAGGAAGGCTAGCTCACCTCTTGTGTGCTGCTGGACACCCAGGGACGGAGCTGCTTCCTAGTGTCTAGAGATCAAATGGCGAGTCCAGGTGAATACTTTTATTTGCCCGTTTTTCAGGTGCTCAGAATTTTGATGTCATCCGACTGTCAACGTACAGGACAGCTTGCAAGTTACGATTTGTACAGAAACGATGCAACCGTAAGTCACCGCCACTCATGTCTGTGATAGATGGATATAGCTGTCAAGGTTATAAAATAAGAAATGTTAGTGCCTGTTCATCACAGTATAATGTTAGTTGAATTGTTTTTTGTCTTTATCAGACCATAAGCTCTGTAATGGACAGGACTTGTCATTTAACTCCTGTGTTCCTCAAAATGTGTCACAAAATTAAGGTAATTAGTTTTGAGGCTGGCATGATATTAATGTTCTTTAGAAGAGAGAATTCATTTCTTCTTGTCTCTTTTATTAAAGTTGTATTTTATATAAAATTCATCCAATTTGTCAGCATTTGGAGGAAAACGTTAATACTGTGATAAGAATTTCTTGGCTAACTTAACATGAATTAACCTTTTTGGGTAATTGCTACCACATAGGCTATGAAATAAATGGAGTGTACTTGTAAATAAGTGCACATGTGGGGCCAACGCTGTGACATAGTGGGTAAAGCCACTGCTTGTGACGTCAGCACCCCATATGGGCACTGGTTCGAGTCCCTGATGCTCTACTTATGATCCAGCTCCCTGCTGTTGGCCTGGGAAAGCAGTGGAAGATGGTCCAAGTCCTAAGACCCTTGCACCTACATGGGAGATCCGGAGGAAGCTCCTGGCTCCTGGCTTTGGCCTGGTCCAGCCCTGGCCGTGGCATCCATTTGGGGAGTGAACACACGGATGGAAAATCTCTCTCTTTATCTGTAATTCTATCTTTCAAATAAATTAATTAATTTAAAAAATACATATGTATGTGTATGTATATTTTTTAAAATTTAATTTTTTCATTTTGAAAGTCACAGTTAGAGAGAGGGAGAGAGAAAGATCATCCATCCTGTGGCTCACTTCCCAGATGTCTGCAGTGGCCAGCTCTTATCCAGACCAAAGCCAGGAGCCAGGACCTTCGTCTGGGTCTCCTATATGGGTGCAGGGGTCCAAACACTGGGGCCATTTTCTGTTACTTTTCCCAGGCCGTTATCAGTGAACAGGGTCAGACGTGGAGCATCTTGAACCAGCACCCATGTGGGGCACTGATGTTGCAGATAGTGGTTTTATCCACTGCGTCACTACACTGGCAGCCTTAAGTATTTATTTATTTTTTTTAGACTTATTTTATTTATTTGAAAGACAGAGTTACAACTGAGAGAGGTAGAGACAGAGAGAGAGGTCTTCCATCCACTGGTTTTCCCTAGTGACCAGTGATGTTGAGCACTTTTTTTCACGCGCTTTGTTGACCATCTTTACCTCTTCTTTGGAGAAATGTGCGTTTAAATCATGTTTTCATATTTAAAATGATTATTTGTCTTTGTTGTTATAAGAGTTTTTATATATTCTGTACCTTAGACCTTTAGCAATGCATGAGACATGCAAATCTTTGCCTTTGCATAGAGGTTTTTAATTGGAGGAAGCGGTAGCTTATCTGGTTTTTCTTGGTTGATTCTGCCTTGGATATCTTGTTCCTCATCTTGAGGGGAGCTCTCAGCCTTTCCACATTAAGCATGGTGTTCACTGTGGGTTTCCTGTAGATGTCCTTTATCGGGCTGAGGAAGCTTCCTGTTTTTTTTTTTTTTTTAATTATTTCATTTATTTATTTGAAAGAATGAGGAGACAGAGAAAGGTGTCTTCCATCTGCTCGTTCACTCCCCAAATGGCCTCAGTGGCTGGAGCTGTGCTCATCTGAAGCCAGGAGCCAGGAGCTTCTTCTGAATCTCCCATGTGGGTGCAGGACCCCAAGGACTTGGACCATCTTCCACTGCTTTCCCAGGCCATAGCAGAGAGCTGGATTGGAAGTGGAGCAGCCAGGACATGAACCATATGGGGTGCCAGTGCCGCAGGTGGAGGTTTAGCCTACTACGCCATAGTGCTGGCCCCTCCACTTAGTTTTGGTTTGTTGTGTCTTTATTATGTAATAGGATTGGATTTTGCCAAATGCCTTCTCTGTCTGTGGAGATGATTGTGTGGTTCCCCCAACCCTGCCTTTTCTTTTTCTGTTAAGAATTGCATCGGCTTTCTTTGGGTCAGAAATTACAGTTTTCTGCTTTCGTCCTGGCTTGAATTCAGCTGTCACTCTATTGTTCTTTCAAGGAAGTGTTGTTTTTTTTTCTTTTTGAGCATTGTTTTATTTTCTCCTGGATCCTCAGTACACTAAAGGAGGTGTTTTTATGTTTCTGCTGGGATTTTTAGTTATTTTCAAGGAGAGAGTAGGTCCTGGTACCCAGCATACCTTATTATTGCAAATGGACAAAAAAATCAGCTTTTTAAGTAATGGGGAAAAGAGCAAAACATGAGTTTACTTTTGGCTTAAGTTGTTCGCAGCTGTGAGTAGTCCGCACGCCGTGTTAGTGTCCTATTTGATTGGATTTCTCGTTCCTTAGGGCCACAGGGAATAAAGTTTGAGAGGTAAAACATCTGCTGGGATCACTGGGCCCCAGTAATCAAATAGGGTGATGCAGGGTACTACAGCAAATTACTGACAAGGCTGGAAGTTCTCCTGAGTGGTTCTTGGTGCTTCTGCCCCCAGGTTACCTGCTGTTAGGAGTAGCTTGGGGCTCTGCAGAGACCTGAGACACCAGTCTCTTAAATGTGAAGTCTGCACAAAGAAGTCAGGCCTGGATCCTCCCGTCACCTGGCACAGACCGTTTCCCCTGTTGCTGGCTCTGGAGTCTGTCTGCTTTCTACGTAGGACTAGCTGGTGAGTCTAAGCTGTGAAAGCCCACTGACAACCCATCTGCCCTGTGTTTCAGTCCACCTCGTTGATATCTGGAACATGATTGAAGCCTTCCGAGACAACGGCCTTAATACCCTGGACCACACAGCTGAGACCAGTGTGTCCCGCCTGGAAACCGTCATCTCCTCCATCTACTACCAGCTGAACAAGCGCCTTCCCTCCACCCACCAGATCAGCGTGGAGCAGTCCATCAGCCTCCTCCTCAACTTCATGATCGCAGCATACGACAGGCTAGTACCTTCCGCGCTTACTTCACTTTGCGAACACCGTCCCTTGACCATTCTTCTGTGCTGCTCTGCTCAGGGTTATCAGCTTAGAATCAGTGAGGAGGGAAGTACTCGTGTGAGTCTTTTGTCAAGACTGCTCAGCAGTGACTCACTGGCCTGGGAGAAGTCCCAGGAAAAGCTGTGAAATAGAGAACCATGCATGTGAGATACTGTGTTTGGCAAAGTCACAGCAGCTCAGTACTTGGGTGGCTGTTCTCTGTTCCATGAGGTGAATCCTGGTCATGAAGGTGATTACAGGGCTCTCTAGTTGACTTTTGAGGCTAACCTTTTCCACTCTGTAGCTCACATCTCTTTGGAACCTAGGATCTTATTTTCTTTTTATGTTTGTGTAGGAACCTATTTTAAATATCTTTTATTTAATTTTTTAAAAAATTTTTATTATTTTTTTGACAGGCAGAGTTAGACAGTGAGAGAGAGAAAGAGAGAAAGGTCTTCCTTTTCCGTTGATTCACCCCCACCAACGGCCGCTGCGGCCGGCACGCTGCGGCTGGCGTACCGCACTGATCCGAAGCCAGGAGCCAGGTGCTTCTCCTGGTCTCCCATGTGGGTGCAGGGCCCAAAGACTTGGGCCATCCTCCACTGCCTTCCCGGGCCACAACAGAAAGCTGGACTGGAAGAGGAGCAACCAGGACAGAATCCGGCGCCCCGACTGGGACTAGAACCTGGGGTGCCGGCGCCACAGGCGGAGGATTAGCCTGGTGAGCCACGGCGCCAGCCTAAGTATCTTTAATGCATGAATGTTGTCTGATAGACCTTACAACATCAGAAGAAAACTTGTAAAGTGTACCCCAAGTTAAAATGGGAAAGATTTGCTATGTGTGTAACCATGGAGATTTAAGCAGTGGGCATTACAGAAAACAAGAATGAAATCATGAAGAATGGAAGCATAGCTGTTACTGATTGTGTTCCAGGAACCAAGAGTTCATATTTTCTAATTAAAAGCATTTTTTTTTTTTTGACAGGCAGAGTGGACAGTGAGAGAGAGAGAGACAGAGAGAAAGGTCTTCCTTTGCCATTGGTTCACCCTCCAATGGCTGCCATGGCCGGTGCGCTGCAGCCGGCACACCGCGCTGACCCGATGGCAGGAGCCAGGTACTTCTGGTCTCCCATGGGATGCAGGGCCCAAGTACTTGGGCCATCCTCCACTGCACTCCCTGGCCACAGCAGAGAGCTGGCCTGGAAGAGGGGCAACCGGGACAGAATCCGGTGCCCCGACTGGGACTAGAACCTGGTGTGCCAGCGCCGCAAGGCGGAGGATTAGCCTGGTGAGCCGCGGCGCCGGCAAAAGCATTTTTTTTACTGCTTATTTGAAAGTCAGAGAGACAGAGAGAAGTCTTCTATCTGCTTGTTCACTTCCCAAATGCCTTCCATAGCTAGGGCTGGACCAGGCTGAAGCCAGAACTCAATCCAGATCTCCCACTTGGATGACAAGGACCCAATACTTGAGCTGTCACCTGCTGCCACCCAAGGTGTGCGTTAGCAGGAGCTGGAATTGGAAACTGATCTGGGACTCGAACCCAGGTACTCTGATATAGGATGTGCATGTTCCATGCGGCACCTTCACAGCTTTGCACAGCCCCGCCCTGAGAGTCCCTATTTCTGACTGCTGCTGTGCTACTGACCATGTGATTTGGAGGGTTTGATTTTCTCTGCTTCATTTCTCCTCTCTACACCTCCTCTGAATTCATATATTTGTAAAATACCGTTAGTTATACTTTATAACAGTGAGGATTCTGTGACTTAGTGATAACATTATGGATGTGTCAAAGCCAAGTCACAATTTAAGCATTCACTACATTTTTAATTCGAGAGTATTTATTTGGTTGAAAGAGTTACAGAGAGAGGAAGAGAGGGGGAGAGGGGGAGAGAGAGAGAGAGAGAGGGAGAGAGAGATTCTTCCATCCACTGGTTCACTCTCCAGATGGCTGCCATGGCTGGGATTGAGCCAGGCCAAAGCTGGGAGCCAGAAGCTTCTTCCAGATCTCACATGTCAGTGGCAGGGTCCCAAACAGTTGGGCCATCTTCCTGTGCTTTTCCTAGGCCATTAGCAGGGAGCTGAATTGGAAGTGGAGCAGCTGGGATATCAGCTGGTGCCCATATGGGATGCTGGCATTGCAGATGGCGGCTTTACCTGCTATTAAGAAATTTGGATTTTTTTTTTTTTTTTTTTGACAGGCAGAGTGGACAGTGAGAGAGAGAGAGAGAAAGGTCTTCCTTTGCCATTGGTTCACCCTCCAATGGCCGCCACGGCCGGTGTGCTGCGCTGATCCGATGGCAGGAGCCAGGTACTTATCCTGGTCTCCCATGGGGTGCAGGGCACAAGTACTTGGGCCATCCTCCACTGCACTCCCGGGCCACAGCAGAGAGCTGACCTGGAAGAGGGGCAACCGGGACTAGAACCTGGTGTGCCGGTGCCACAAGGCAGAGGATTAGCCTAGTGAGCCGCGGCGCCGGCCAAGAAATTTGGATTTTTAAAATAAGAGTATATAAGAGACTTAAATTCCCAGAATTCTAATGCCAATTTTTAGTAGTTGAGGTTAATAAGTCTGTAAGGCCAACTATACTAAAGACTGGCCTTTTTGATCCAAAATTTAGAGTAAAAAATTATTATTCTATGGTGAACAAACGATACCTTGTCTTCATGATGCTGACCCCGGCATCTTACCACACAACTTAATTCAAAAACAGATTTTTAAAAAAGATCTATTTTATTTATTTGAAAGGCAGAGTGATAGAAAAAGATCTTCCAGCTGCTGGTTCACTCCCCAAATGGCCACAACGGCTAGGGTTTGGCCAGACTGTAGCCAGGAGCTTCTTCCAGTCTCGCACATGGACGTGGAGGACCAAGCCTGCGGGCCATCCTCCACTGCTTTCCCAGGAGTATCAGAAGGGAGCTTGATTGGAAGTGGAGCAGCTGGGACTTCATCCAGCACCCACCACAGGTGGAGGCTTAACCTGCTACGCCACAGCACCGGCCCCATCTACTTATTTATTTTAATTTTGCCTTTCATCCTTTGTATTTCATAATTCCTCAAGGTTAAAATTTGAATGCAAAAATTATTTAACCTTACCTTCCCTCACTTCCAAATTGCCAGTTTTTTTTTCCAGAGATTTCTTTTTATTTTAATAATTACAAAATATAACAGCCAGGAACAAATGGGATCTAAGGCTTTATTCTCTAAGTGGGTATTTTCTTAGAATCAAGTTTCTTTTCTTTTTTTAAAGATGTATTTATTTATTTGAAAGGCAGAGTTAGAGGCAGAGGAAGAGAGAGAGAGGTCTTCCATCCACTGGTTTACTCCCCAGATGGCTGCAACAGCCAGAACTGGGCTGATCTGAAGCCAGGAGTCAGGAGCTTCTCCCGGTCTCCCAGGCAGGTGCAGGGGCCCAAGGACTTGGGCCATCTTCCACTGCTCTCCCAGGCTATAGCAGAGAGCTGGATCAGAAGAGGAGCAGCTGGGACTCGAACTGGCGCCCATATGGGTTGGCAGCACTGCAGGCATCGGCTTTACCCAGTGTGCCACAGCGCTGGCCCCACAATTCAAGTTCCTTAATCCTGAGAGTTTTAAATACTTTGCATTTTGACAGTGGAAATGATTGGAAAGTCTAGAAACCAACGTGTGGGACCTCAGCCCCAAAGCATGGTGGAAATGTGCTGCCAACCTCGTTCTCCCTTCCCTTTGGTGTGCTGCTGCAGCCATGTTGTAGTCATGTGATCTGCACCACATTGTGGAGACAGCACCCCAGCCAACAGAGCAGGGTACCCAGTCTGTTCTCCGCACTTGAGCTGAGTCCATGCTGTACGGCTCTGTTTCTAACCTCTGTTGGTTCTATGCCTTCAGTTGTGGGGACTGGGGAGCCTGCAAAGGATGGGCTCCTGCGACTGAGGAACCCTGAGCCAGCATAGCCTCGGTCTTCCTCGACTCAGAGCTCTGCTGCATTTCTTCATGCTGGTTTTGGCTTTGTCGTCGTCTTTTATCAGCTTCATTCGTAGCCTAACTTAAAAAAAAAAAAGCCTCTCTTAACAGCTGCTAAGTGCTTCCTATTGCAAGTCCAGGTAGGCAGAGAGAGTTGGCTTCTCTCAACATCAGACTGAAGCGCCTGAGCCTTCCCTCGCATCTGTGCACTCGGGCCGGGCATGCTTAGGTGTTACGCTCTGCAGCTCCAGCAGATCATGGCTCTGCCCGTGGAGCAGAGGGACACTCAGTTCTCACACTGCCCGTGCGTGTCGTGGGGCGTGGACTCCACAAGAGACAGCCACCGTGGTCTGAGCTTCAGGCAGTGCAGGGTCGACTTCTGGTTCCTTCTGTTAGATGGCCTCACTGTGCACCCAGGTCCTTAAACTTGAAACTTGAGAATCATTTATTACCCTTCCTTCCCTTCTGCAGGAGACCATTTTTTTTTTTTTTTTAAATAAGACCTAGCTTGTTTTGAACTGCTGTTATAAACTTTTCAAATGCTATTCCTGACAGGGCATTCTTCTTGGATAGCTATTGTTTTCTGCTTTTCATTCCCTAAGAAAGGAAAATGTTCTGTAATGAGTTCCTGAGAAATTTGTTTTGCAGTTTCTAACTATTGACTCATATTTATTCCTTTTTTTGTTTTTCATTAATTTCTGTTTTAAAAATGTGTCTGTGATTCAGAAGTATAATGTAATTCCACCTTAAACATGGAACAGACTTTATGAAAAGTAACATATCTAGTGAAACTGGGTTTGGATAAACTTACAAATACTCCAGTATTGAACATGACATTGAAAGGCCCCAGATGTAACAACGTTGACATACAGATGCTCCCCGACTTAGGGCTTAGCTCCTGAAACTGCACTGTAAGTCGGAAACGCATTGAGTACTCCCAGGCTCCCTCACTCCCAGCTCAGCAGCACCATGCCCCAGAGGGCTGGTTGTTGCCCTGTGTGACTATGGCTGGCTGGGAGCTGCGGT